AGGGCGAGGGGTAGGGAGGCTCAACGGGTTCATGTCTCATGGGAAGAAGGCGGAAAGTATTGCCTACACGAAGAAGGCATCTACCATGAAGCTCAACCTTATGTAGGTCATCATAGTAAATGAGCGGGTTGAGGTGTCTCTGGTCAAGCCAGGTTTGAGTAAAAGATCTCCAGCAATCACGGTCGATAGCCGCATCGTCCCAGAAAGGGGGGGCGCCAATGGGTCGACTCTTGTCCCAGAGGACTTGCAGAAAACGGCATGCATTTGGCCAGCGGCCCGGTTTTCTCCGGGTACGAATACATGCACGGCATGCCCAGCGGGCGTCTCGAATTCTCAATGCAGCGCATATGGGGGAGTATCGTGTAAGGTGAATACGGGCAACGTGACCCCAGTAGGTGAAAAAACATTTGGCGTGAATGCCTTCCCAAGAAGCATGCTGAAGGGCTTGGGCTGCCATTCTAGAACCCCGACGTCTACAGACCCAGTTCTCAACCCCAGTCATGAAGACATCCTTGGCGAAGTTGAACAGAGAGCTGAGGAAATTGGTGTGGAGGGTTTTCAGCATTTGACTGATGGCTAGAATAGGCCTAACAGTTGGGGCCATCCACCTCCACCGGCTCGTTATGAAAGTGTTAAAGAGGTCGAGGCGCTGTTTCACAGGGGCAGTTGTGCGGCAGAGGATTCGGTAAAAACCCCAGAAGGAATTAGTGGCTTTAGAGAGCCGAGCGGCGAGAACAGTCTGACACGAGAAGCCAAAACCAATTAAAACGCCCAGAAACTTGAAGCCGGGTACCTGAGGGATGGGGAAGTCTGCCGCATAAATGGAGCGTCTGGGAAGGTCAGGAGAGGCAATAAATTTGCACTTGGGGAGAGACAACTTAAGGCCAATGACGTTAAATGTGGCGATAACCTGCTGCAGCATCCTAGTTGCCTGTGCATGGGAAGTAGCCAGAAGAATTAGGTCGTCGGCATAAAGAAGCGTGAAAACTTTGCGAAAAACGCCACCCGGGTCAAAACACTGGAGCCAGGTCTCCTCTTCGTCGTGCCAAAGACGGGTTAACGCGCCTAGATAAAAATCAATAGTGCGCGCGAAGATTTCGGCGCTATAGGGGGATCCTTGGAGTATTCCCCGCTCCAGTGGTTGGACCCATGATGCATCAGAGATGGAAACGCTCACCGAACTCATAGTTATCATGGATAAGAGTACCAGGGACTCGAGCTTTGGGCCACAATGGTTCATGAATCGGGCAACTGCATGATGACTAAGGTTGTCAAAGGCCGAAGAAATGTCTAACCTGATCGCGATCAAGGGTAACCCGAATTCTTGGCTGAGACGCACAAAGTGTTGTAGACAGCAGGAGCCATCAAGGGTTTGGGAGCCTGGTATACCACAAAGCTGGTTTGCAACAGGGGGCGGAAAGCTGCTGCGAAGGCGTGTAAGGAGAATTTTGGAGAACAGTTTGCCGGGGGTGCTAGAGAGTACTATGGGGCGGAGCTCGCTCGGGACTGAAGGTGAAGAAACTTTGGGGATCAGAGTAAGTTTGGAGTTGAGCCACTCTTGTGGGATGGGGCTTGTTTGCATGAGCACCGAGTTGAAGAGTTCAACAATGTGAACTCTGCACTCGGTCTGCATTACCAGCTGAAGGAGCTCATACGAAATGCCGTCTTGTCCGCAGGATTTACCAGCCTTGCAAGTAGCCAGTACAGTGCACACTTCCTCTTCAGAGATAAGTTGCGGGGCCCTGAGCGGTGTATGAATTCCAGCAAAGAGCGTGTCGAGCGGTGAAACGAGTGAGACATCAGGCTCAGTCCACTTGGACTTGAAGTGTTGTTTGAGGTCACGGATTGCCTTATCCTTACCACCAGCCCTAACCAGGTAGTTATTATGTGAAGCAAGAACATTCTGGCGTCGCTTAAAGTAGCTAATAGCCTTGAAGTCACCATTGGCCGATTTATCAAGGATATCCGTGAGCCAGAGGTTCTTTGCAACAGCACGGAGTCTTACGATTTCCTTGCCAAGGGCTCGGGCTTCGGCTCCTCCTAGTCTTCTGCGCTGGCGAATTTTATCGAGAATCTCAGGGGGGTCCCGATATCTGTAGCTACGAGGGCGAAAGCAGGTTCTAGTGGCAAGGCTCGCAAGATCTTCTGTTGTGAGATCACACCCAGAGAGATCAAGCTTATGGCAAAGGTGTTGAGCCTGTTCAAAGACCTTACTGGAGTCAGCGACCCACCTCCCACACTTGTTTGTCTGACGCGTGGCTCTACGAGACTTCTCAGGTCTCGTCACGGTGAAAGCGGCAGTCACACACCTATGATCACAGCCAAGTAAAAGATCCGTGTCTGTCAGAACCTGCTGATGGTTCAAAAGGTTGGTCGGTGATGACAGGAGGACAAAGTCAATCTTAGACGAGGCGCCACGTGTGTTACTCCAAGTGTAGGTTTCCGGGCGGGTATGGACAAGGCCGTGGCTACGAAGCAGAAGTTGACAGTAGACTTCACGTTCATCAATGCGGTTAGTACTGTCAGTGGCAGGGGAAGACTCAAGCTCATAATTGGTATCAAGGAGCATGACAATCACGTCAAAGTATCGCCTCTTCTTGAGGATGGCATCAAGCTGCGACAAAAAAGTCTGCCAACATGACAAACAGTCATCTCTCTGACGATGTGGCAGATGGGCACTAATTAGGAATTTCCTGTATCCATGCACATGCAAGATGACACAAATTCCGACATCAAGCGTGATTACCTGCTCAACGTCCCCCGCAAGGCGAGTAGGCATTCCGAGGATGACTGCCCTCCATGCTTTAGGTGGATTCGTGCAGTAAAAGGTCCATGCTTCGTCGAATTCAAACTGCTGTGTATCCCACGGTTTCGTTTGTTCCCCCAAACCTCCAACTTCCTGAAGACCTAGAAAATCAGTCCCTTCAAGGCCCAGTGTAGGCCACGCAGTGGAGACATCACTCAGCGATTTGCCCTGAACGTTCCAACTGGCAGCACTGGCGTTGTAGGTTCGAGGGGGTGCCGTGGGTCAGGGGTTGCTAGGGCAGTGTTTTTCCCACAGATCAGCAAGCTCCGAAGCTGGGTAACCGGTGAGATTCTGAAACTGAGATCCACGAACGTACCATGGCATGTGATTACCTCGTGCATCACTGATGATGTAGTCATTGATTGAGGGTTCCCCATCCCTGTCGATTGAACTCAAGAGCTGATATTGATGAACAAACAGACGTCCATTCCACATGATCTCAATATCACGCTCAGGGATTGGTGCTTTCCCACTGTGCCCTGGAAGATGTTTGAGGAACTCCTTGGTCAACACAAGAGCACGTACCCTCTCTCGCTCTTCTTTTGTTTTGCTCTTCGTGGCCCAAATCTTGTTTCCCTCGGAGCCAGGTACACCACTCGTGAATCGCTTGGTCTTGAGTTTGTCGAGTATCTGAAGTTGATGGACACGGCGGAACTTAATATGGGCCTGCGGGTCCGGGAAGACAAGTTGAACCTTAATGAAGTTGGTACGACTGTATGGGGCCCAAAGGTCGCTGTAGCTGTCGGGGAGACCAATGGCAGCAAACATGTTAGCTACCTCTTGCTGTGCATCCCCTTTTTTGGCATCAGTCCAACCTCCAACGATGATATCAAGATCCCCTTCATCTTCCCTGCTGTCAACAGAACTGCGTGGGGATCTAGGTGACGGGGGGCCATGACGTCCAGGGGGAACCCGAGGTGGGGTCATGGTTCTCTTGGCAGTCTCGAGTTCCTGAAGTCTCTTTTCGAAATCCTGAAGTCGATCAAGTTCCTGAATTCTCGCTTCAAGGTGCTTAATTTGATTCTGGGCTTGCAGGATGTTTTGTGTGTGCTCACTGGCGACTGACTCTAGATGGGAGACTCTGACCCCTTGTGCCTGAATCTCGGCTCCATATTGAGCAAGTTCATTCCTTGAAAGATCAACCCCAGAATCCCTGACTGAATTTCATGTACCCAGGGCGGGGCGTCGCTTCCTAAGGGGAAAGGTCCAACACCTGCGACAGGATTCTTAGTGATCAGAGTAGGTGCAATTGGTGCAGTATATCCTGGAGGCCCTGCTGCGTTGGCGGTCGACAATTCATCGTCATCACGTTGTGTCATGTCGGCTTCCTTTTCGTTTTCATCATCCTCTTCATCATCGTCAGCGGTGAGGTCGAAAGTATTGGGGGGCGGCTTAGGGCGGGTGGTGGGGAAAGTGCCGAGGGAGATCTTGGGGAGTGCAGTGGAAGCTTCATTGGGGGCATCATTGGCTTTGGCTTTGGCTTCAGGTGTCAGGACAGTGACGGTTGAGGGGGTGGAGCTTGCACTTCCAGTTGGGACAGCGTTGACCCCGAAATCAGGCATTTTGACATCCTGGCTATCATGGCACTCTTCTTTGTGGGGCTCAGTCTTAAGCTTCTTGGAGTCAGGAGCGGTGACGTCGGGCGAGGTTTTGTCGCTTCGTCCCCTCGAGTTACGTGGTTCGCGGGATAGTCTAGGCTTCCTAGTGTCCCTACCTCGATCTGCAGCCTCAGTCCTGGTTCGTCCCCTGAGCGGCGTCTCCAGAGCTTCTGTGTGCCTTCCTACCGTCGGCAGGGGTGTGGTGGAGTCAGGCATCCTTCAAAAGCTTTCCTCGCACTCCGGAGTCTTTCCCTCACGCTCTCACTCTCAAAGACCTCACGCCTCGGAATGAGAGAGAGGCTCCAGAGAGACAAGAGGAAGAAGGGGAGAGGAGAACCAACCGATGTAGGTGATCCGTCACACCTCCCGCAAAGTCCGAAATACCCCGCACGTGCAAGAGAGGGGGCAACACCGAAACAGGTTTCGAGCCGAGATCTTGAGCCAAAATGGCTTGAGCCAAAATGGCTACGGTATATATACATATATGGACAGATACATAGACAGATAGATAAACATATGTACATAAACATATGTATATATATATATATGTACATATACGGACATATATATATATATACATTATGGCACCGAGACACAAGAACGTGCCCAGCAGAGCCGCCGCGCGCACATCAACTCCTCGCCGTGGGGCCTCGCACGTCCGGAACTGATGCAAGAAGGGGCCCACTTCCTATTCCTCGAGTTCTTCAGCAGCTTTCTTGCATTTGAACTTTGAGTGCGCCTGCCTGAGGATTTTGACAAGATGTTCTGCTATCCCGCCTCAACCACTTCACCTTTGATTCGAGGCCAGGCCCCCTGGGCACAGAAAGCAACGTGAGAACGCATGGAATCCAGCAGCGTTTCGCGAACGCCCTGGCTGACGGAGCTGAACAAGCCTGTGCTGCAGGGCTACCGACGAGGGCCGTGGCAGCCGCCTGACAGGGCACCATCGGAACATGGTAGAGACTTCCGGCATCGCAAGTCTCTCTCCGACACAAGATACAGGCTCTTGGCTCGTACAGGCGGCAGCCTCCGAGTAGTTGTGACCTGCAATCTTTTCCGAGCACTTCAAAAGGGATGACCCCACCACCACTTGACCCTGATTGCCGTTGCAACTCTAGCTGTGCATGCTGGCATTATTTGCTGTTTCCGCATTGCCCGGTTCCGGTTTTCACATCCAAGAGCTGCTTCCAAGCGACGAAGCAAAACCCGGCGAAAGCTTGCCAGGCAACGGCGAACAAACCTGCATGTTGTCCGTGCGTCAACAATGATGATGGTGATTAAGCTGCTGGCTATGTAGCATCCGTGGGGCCATCAAACGACTGCCTTTCAGTTGCATCTCCTGTGACCTAGACAGACAGCATTAAGTCCAGGTTCTACAACGCTCGATTAGAAGGCGACCTCTATCTCCGAACTCCAGGCTTCCAAAACACGCCCAGACCCTAAGCCGCGTTTTGCAGCATGTCTTGAAAGATGTTGAAAGTTCCTGGCCAGGCTAAGAGCACTCCATCTTCAACGGGATGCAAGTTGGCATAGGAGCTTTTGTGGAGCTTTTGATCTCAGCCGCCTACGCTTTTGGCCGATGCTTCATGCGGGAACCACGCAGGCCGCAAGCCCAAGCAGCTTGCGCGAGTCCGCCGGGAGCTGAAAGACGACATGTAGGAATGATGGATAACAGGATAACAATCTCACTGTTCCTTCTTGCTGCTCAATGTGTATGCTGAGCTGCTGCGCATTCTGTCGCACCAGCGGCAGCAGCAGCAGTAGCAGCAGCACCGAATCGTGAGTCGTCCACAGCACATTAGGACGCAGATGACCAGCAGCAAAATTGCCATACTCAGTGCCTTCTCCAGCCCGTGGTCCCGCACAAAAAGCGGATCCAGTGTATTCATCTTCGACTGCACCGGCAATGGGTCCGGGAAGCGCAAGTCGGCGGCTTGTTCAATAAGATCCAGCGTGCGGCTGAGACCCCCGAAGCTTCGCAAGTCCTTGGCAAAGCGACCTCTGCACTTCAGCTTCGCACCTCACATCGTCTAACCTCAAAAGAGTTTACAGTCATGCTTCTACGGGTAAGACTTTGAGCGTGGCCTCCACCTAGTCCGACCGAGCATCCGAAGAAGCCGCCTTCGTCGCATCTGCGAATGCCGGATTCTGGACAACTGCTTCGGCTGCCTTCCAGAGCACAGGAACACACGCGTGCCTTCTGCAACCGCATGACAACGGCCCTGCTCAGGTGATGCTGCTGGAAGCCCTGCCTCTAACAGATTGGCAAAGTCGGGGCGCACGAGCCTCAAGTCGCCAGCTTTTTGCCCTTAATACTTCAACAAACAACATCAACCCCATCAAAGTCTATTAAAAACCAAACCAACTCAACAGACGGGCCTTCCTGGGCGTACCAAACTCCTCATTATCCTCATTTCTCTCTGCCGTCACTCGACTGCAGCTTACAAATCTTACAAGGCAAGCATCACTGCAGCTCCAATCTCCACGAGTCTCTGCGCATTTCCACGTTGGTCCGAGAAGGAGGGGTACGCAAGAACAGGAACGCCTGGGACGGTTTGAGGGGACACGGCCAAGGGATTTCCTACGCGGGACCCGAGTTTTGCCATCGGCTCCTGCGGCCAGTGTGTCTGTGACCCCACCCCAGCCACAATGGGACAAGAAGGCCTTAACTGCAGGGTGCGCGAGGACCTCCGGTTGCGGAGTGAAGTTTGCAATGTGCAGATGGTCCCCAGTAGGTGGAAGCAAGTGCTGCAAGGCCCCTTGCTGCGAGCTGCGCAGGGACCAGAGGATCCGGAAGCCGCTTGACATGAGTCTGCGGAGCTCAGAAATCAGATTCGAACCGCTGGAATTACTGAATTCATACTTGGTTCCCATGGATACATAAACCGCTGGTGCTGCGGCATGGTCCAGCCAGTGCTCCAGTTCTGCCGGCAATTGACGAGGTGTTGTTCTTTCCATGGTGCCCACAACATGGAGCCCCTTGGGCAATTTGATTGGCAGAGTGATTGGGTGGCCGCCCAGCATTATGTTCGTCTTGGCTCCGAGAAGAAACTCCGTTTGATCGGCCAGCGGCGGAAATCCTCTGTCCTGCAGCACTGAGTTCATGACGGACAGGCCAAACTGCATGTAAGCCTGCAGCATCATGCACTCTACTCGGTTCTGGACCCGCTTGAGAAGAGAGCCACGGAGTTCTTTTATGGATCGAGGGTTCACCATGTTTGGATACTTGCAGATTTCCTCGGAATCACTGAGCACGAGCTCAGGATATGGAGGAACGCTGAGGAAAGAAACCCATGGAAGTCTCTCTTCGGATCTCTTCAGCGCAGCATTGCAGCCGAAGGAATTCGCTGTAAACGCAACGTCAAAGTGATGCCGCTCTGTAAGGGCTATGAAATCATCGACCACGGAGAAAAACGGCCCATCGATCATAGACTTGTAATTCCAGATAATCTTGCCCCATGCTATGATGCCTTCATGCCACCGCAGGTTCTTCATGTCCGGAATCTTGACACTGCTGAGTGACGCCGTCTCGTCACCAATGTAGATGAGGTTAGCAGTGCCAATGCCACTGGGGAACCACTGGAGTGCTTCGGTCGTGTTGGGAAGCGTCATCGTGACGTTGTGGCCACGCTCCAGCAAGCCCTCCACCACTGGCACGACGGCCAGATGGTGACCTTGGCGACAACGCACCTACAAATTCCCCACGGTTCATCATGCGTACGTAGTGTATCGTTCTTCCTTACTCAGTAAGCGGCTTCTCATCACGCCACCCGTCACCAGGATCTGTTTTGCCTCAGTCTGGGCCAGCCAAGCCACCTGAGATGCCAGGAAACTCGTGCCGGCGCAGCACCAACTAAAACTTTCGAAATTTGGGCATCGCGAGAACTTGAAACTCAACGAGAGTGAATGCTAAAGCAATGCTCTCTTCGAACTGGTCGCCATCCCGAACACCAAAGGCATGTTCAACATGGAAAATCCTCGGTCGAAGCAAGGAACGGCCAGCAACCGCCATATCGTGACACTGGCCATGGCTGCCGCAAGATTCGAGCCAACGCTTCGACGGCAGCCTTGGCACATTGCGCCTGGCCAAACAAAGCGTTGAAGTACGGCCTGACCTGCTCCGATATTCATCGCGCAGAGTCCAACAGCTCCACGGCTCGCATAAGGGAACCTAGGGGGAGGGTGGGTTCCTCCTCTAAGGTGGCTCAGCAACTGCGGAGTCTCGGCCAACCCTGCCCGGGGCCCTGGGCTAGCAGTGGACTTCAATCGGCAACTGCAGGTTTAGTTTCAAGAGATCACAAATCGGTGCGCCGGTGAGTGACGCGAGACCAAAGAAAGACTTCGCTTGAAGGTGAAGATTTGGATATGCAAGAGACCTCAGGAGTTCGAATGAGAGGATCGAATAGTCGCAGACTCAGATTACAAGACATAGCGGTTGGGTTAATACCTCCGGGACAAGTCAACGGGCGTTGAGATGTCGAGCAGACGCACGAACAAATCCAAGGCAAAGCCAAGCACTACAGTCTCAGGACAAAGGTCCTGGTGAAGTGTCTGCATAGGTAGGTGTGTATGTAGTGTGTGGTGTGTAGGTAGGTTGGTAGGTAGATCGGTTAGGTGGGTAGGTAGGTAGGTTTGTTTGCTTGTCGATTTTGCTCCCTGCCCTCTATTCTGCAAATTGCATGGCAAGCAGTGGAACAGCCTGGCCGCGCATTGCGAGCCTCGTAGAAGCCCCAGACAAACCCTTGACTGTGGCGCCTTGGTGCCGCACTTCGCCGCCAAGAGTGCAGGCCATCGTCAAGGCCGTTGAGGACCTTCCGAAGCTCCGAAACGAGACTTGGATGTTGGAGGCACCTTCTTGATGCTCCCGACTTCAAGCTGCTAACGAAGTGCCCCAAAAGTCCTTCTGCAAAACTGACATCCTGGGCTGGCCTTGCCAACAAGCGCACTGGCGTCATCGGGGTAAGTCATCATCTTGACCGGCCAGGCATGCCGCGTCGCGGCACATTGGATTCCGTTCACATGTTTATGATTGCTTACGCTTCGATTGCGAAGCCTACTACGCGGGCAATTCCCCGGTTTTCAGGAAGCCGTTGAATTCGTGGCAAAATGGAAACAGAAGCCGTTGTTCGCTCACGTGCGAAAGTGATCTACCGATCCACACATGGCATCGGCTTACAGATGTGTTGACTCTTCTCCATGATTCCCGAAGCTAGCGGCTTCATGATCTTGAACGGTTCTTTTCAATACCAGTGACTGACGAAGTCAGTGAGACGAACCCCCAAGCAAAACGCTTGAGTCCGGCAAACATGATGCCTCAGACATTGCAAGCACAAAACCGTGGTGGTGTCTGCTAGAGTTTGAATTTACTGGTGTGTGTAGGTTCAGCGCGTGAGCCCTCCCTACGACATGAGCATCTGCACACCGAGCCAGAGTAGCTTCAGACAACGACAACCTGCGGCAGTATGTGCACGAGCTCAATCCCTGCCTGGACCACGCAGAAAAGCCATCAATTATCATGCAGAAACTTGCAGAAGCCGTATGGTAATAGAGGAGGTTCTCAAGCCCTGCTTGGCCACCCACCGTTCGCCAGGGTCACTCCAGAGGGAAAGTTCAGCTTTCCTGTCCACTTTTTTCTGCGGATGCGCGTTAATGCATCAGGTGGTTTGGGCGAAACGGCTAAAGAAAACTCGATACATGTGGATCAAGGCAATACCAAGAGAGCAGCGAGCCAAAGCAGCCTGCATCTGTGCCCGGGCCACCATCGACCTCAAGTTCAGGGACTGGCCGGCGACTATTTGCATACATCTACAACGTGCTTGACTTAAGACATGTATGGAATGCATGTATCCCGGGCTTCCGGGACGCCTGCCACGGCCGTTCCAGAAGAACCGCTGGGAATCCAGCGAAGCACCTCGGTGTTGCATGCACACTCGAGGTGTCCATTCCATGGAGTTCGTGAGCCCAGCGAAACATGCAAAACTCGGATCTGTCGACAGTCCGGAGACTGCACAGGAGGGTCTCAGCGCGTCAGACACTTGCATCGCGGCCCGGTGATTCTGGGTGTCGGCAATGTACAGCTGCCCTAGCAGAGGCAGCCGTCCCACCACTGCTTCAGGCGGAAGTGTCACGGCGCCAGCACGACACCCTACGCAAAGATGTTCCATGAGACAGGCCGCAAACCTACCCAGCGCGGTATCTTTCAGCCGGAGTTCACATTAGCATCGGAGTTGATAGTTAATATGCTGGACTTAGACTTATACTGCTGGAAACATGTAATGGAGCCAGGGAGACCGGACGCGTCATCGAACGCCAGTGCCTGCTGCAGAATGACATGATTTCTGTGGCTTCCTGTGCAAAAGCCACGCCACCGATGTTGATGATGCGCACCCCTGACAGGCCTCCGGAAAGAACAGATTCGAAAGGAAAGAGCCCTGGGAACCGCCAGCCTCAGCGCCACAAGTTCTGCATCAAGTATGGATTAAGGTGTTCGAGCCTTGAGGCCTGCGGATCCAACGGTTACAGTCGTGTCGAGACTGCGCTCAGGACACTGCAACAACCACGCCACCGCCTGAGGTTCCACCTGTCACGCTGGCCAACGTGACCTCGGCACAAAATGGCCGAAAGAATCCACGGCATACCCCTAGACTCTAGAACACATCTGCTGTCTGCTTCTCTACATTGGCTTCACGTCGACGTTCGCAGCCGTCACCCCAAAGGCTCCCGCTCGAGAGCACGCCTTGGATCGACCGACGTTGGAGTCTATTTGTCTTCGCGGGGCTGGTACGCCGTGGGTGAGCATGACGCCGCTGCCCCACTGAGGTTGCAGATGACCCACGCACACAACTGTGTTCGTGAGTGGCTGTCGGCCCAGATAAGCAGAGAATGCCAAACGGCACGCGAAAAACAGAAAAGCGAAACGTCGAAAAGTTACACTGGATAAAGATTCGACGCGAAAAGCAGAAAACCTGAAAACCAGAAAGGGCGAAAAGTCTAGAAATCCAGCGAAAAGTTGAAAAGTCCAAAAGTGCAGCAATAAACGAAAAGTCAAAAGTCGAACAGCAAAGCACAAATAAGCAAAATGCGCAACTTACAGCGAAACACGACAAGTCGAGAACTCCAAACATCGAAAACGATCGAAAATGCTAACAACATCTGAACACTCAGAACCCCGGCAGAAGACGCAACAAGTCTGGTCAAATATTACGGAGCTGACCGGAAGACCCAGTTCAGCCAAAAACATCTATGTTTTGGACACTTGGTGGCTGCTCGGATGAGACCCGAAAAGCAGGCCCAAATGCGTGCCTTGTGCACCTCTCAGTGCTGTCGTAACCACTAGATTCACGAGATGCTCCGAAGTCATTGACAATCGCAAGTTGCCATTCAAGATTTCTGAAACCAGAAATTTCAAAATGATTATGGCTTCCTTGATGCTCCAAATGATCCAAAAACCATTGCAATCTGGCGCGCATAAGGTTCTTGGTTGGCTCCTTAGACCCGTCTTGCTCAGTCTTGGGTGCTTGCGGACGCACGAAATTTTCAAAACTCATTGAACGTTGCTTTTTGGGTCTCCGTTCGTGTTGGGTGCTTCGCGGAAGCAAAATCACTGCAATTTGAGTCGGTCTTTTGCAAGCCTGCTCAAAAATAGCCGAAGTATGCCAACACCGAGCAATAGAGAACTTCATATTATGTTTCTGCTGCGTCTGGGTGTTTTGAGAAAACAAGATGGAAAACACCTCCTGGCTTGAAACATGCAGGTGGGCGGCTCCTAAGACCCGAACAGCATCCCACAACTCCAGATGCGTTGGCTTCTTTCGTACTTGTGTGAAAAACCAAATTGACAAACACCGTTGAAAGAGCACACTTGAAGAGTTCGCCTAAACCGAAACCTTGCTACTTATTGGCGGCTTGGGCGGAACCCGAAATCGAAATGGTAGAAATGCCACGACTAGTGTGACAGTACTACTATGACTACGGCCGACAGCTACAGTACTCGTTTTACTGCTGCCTCAGCCTACCTCTGGCCTCGCCCTGTAGGCCTTCCTACAGTTGCACGTAGACCTTCCTACAGTTGCACGATTTTTCCACTAGCGCGAGTCTAGCTTTGGGGCTGCACATAAGCATGGAACAACTGCACAGGTGTATCCCGGCCTCCTGGCCAAGCCAGCTAAGCCTTCCCCGAGCCTAGCCTGGAGCTCTTGTATGAACACCCATAACACCTGAGAACATCTGAAAGTGCAGCGAAATGAAAAGCTCAGAAAAACGCGAAAAGTCGAAACGCAAAAAGACTAGAAGTACAGAAAGTCTAAAAATGCGATTCGTTCCGAGAAAGTCGAAAAGCGCAAGCAAACGCGAAAAATCAAAAAGGGGTCGAAAAACCCGAAAGGCACCGAAACGCGCAAAAAAGCGCAGAACCACTGGAACAGTCGAAAGTCGAAAAGCAGAATAAAAGAACAAGTGAAAACACTAAAAGCAGAAAAGTCCAAAACTGAGTCGAAGTCTTTTGACTTTTCGATTTTCTCTGCCTATCCAAACCAACACGTGCCTGCGTACTTGGCACAACTGCACAGCTTACACGGCCTTGTCAAGGACATAGATGTCGCCACCTGGGCCGCTGGCCTGGCACACACCCAGCCAAATCACCACCGGTCACTCAGGACTATGACAATCAGTATCCACCAAAGGACGATGCTAGCTCAATACCTCAACGTTCCTGCCCGTTTCTGTCCGAACTAACTGGCCGGGCTCGCAACATCGACCTCACTGTCACTTTCAACATACTTGGACCAGCCGTATCTGCATGTTCAAGCATGAACCGCTCCGCATCTTATGCAGCTGCAAAGAAGTGCTGTTGAGAGCCACGGTTACACATGTGCGCTGGTTGTAGAACACATGTGCGCTGGTTGTAGAAACCATTGCAGGTATCACTTCGCTTCAGTGGTGTGCCGGTCCTTAGCAACAGCCGATCTCCCCTTTCTAGAGCCGTACAGTAGCCCAGCACTAAGCCCAATAGAAAATCCACAAGAGCGACTGTCCGCATTGTCATCCTTGGGAAAAGCAATGAATTTCCGGAAGTGTTGCATGGAGCCGATCAACTTGTGCAAAGCTCTAGAGGGGGCAGGGGCTCATGACTCATAACTCGTCTTTGTTGACACAGGAAAGATCAACAAAAACAAGCATGTCGTGCACGTGCAACAGGCGAGGCTGACCGAACAAGCACTGGCAAACTGACTGCTGAGTGACCTTTTCATTCCGCGCTTGTGTTCGCAAGAAGCTCCAGATCCTCCCGTCCAAGACATCGCTGCACAGCTTCGACGATGTTCCAACAATATGGAAACTGGCCGGAGGTCAGAATGGCCTCGGCGCAGCTGGCTTTTGTTGAATGGGCTGACTCTCCTTTGGACCATTCTGCTGGAGACTGTGGCGTAGAGTACACCAACCCCCTGGGAAGGGGAAGCCTGATCTGCGACCGAGACGCCTCGGCAGCCTCTGGACTGGGTAGCACCTGCACACACTTGGGCTTCGGCAGGCTTTCGTGGCTGAGAGTAGGAACAAGAGATTAACTTACATAAAAGTGCAGAGCTGCAAACAGCCCGGCAGGTCGATCCAGGCAGCAGCGGCCGTAGTTGTAGACCTCAGATCAAAAATGGCACTCACTACTGCTGTTGAGTCTCGGTCGCACGCGAGAACAAGCCCCACAGAACACACGGGGCTACCCGGTCCTGGCTGCTTCTGCACATTTCTGCACCGTCTATGTTTTTGCTTTTAACTGATACTGCAACGATCTGCAACGTGTGATTGTTGTCGGTGGCATGGGGAATGTGCTTGCAGCCGTCGTGCATCGGTCCAGCATTTTGCGTTGCCTGCGCACACATGTTCTCGGGCACATGCTCGCAACTGCTACGTAGCAATCCAAAGACTCCAACTTGTCACCACCCCTGACGTCGGGAGTAATGCCACTCGGATGGAAACTGCAGTAGCTGTGCGGCGGTCACAATTCCAGCCTGAAGCAGCTTTTGGAGTTGAAGCCACTCGTTTATTCTGTTTAGCAGGTTGCGCAAGAGAATGGATGGAACCATGCCTGAAAAGGAAGGGCTGGCAATGGCCTGCAACTCCATGCTGAGTGCTGCAGCACCACTTTTCGTCCCCGTCCTGATCATGGCAAGCGGAGCCCGCTGTCATGTGAAACTTGCCGCTGCAGGCTCGTCTTTGCATCATGGAGTAGTAGTATGCCCTTGGGCGCCGAAGCGGGTAGAATGAAACCGTTTCCAAACCATTTCGGCCTGGTCGAAGCAGGGGGGCTCGAGGCGTGGTGAGGCCAAGAAGCGCCAGGTCCTTGCGAGAGAAACTCATCGAGGAGTCAAGGACCCTCGGTGCTAGGGAGTTAAAACTCAAGGTTCCCGGCCAAACAATCTCTACATGCTGTTCAGCTCCACAGCACGCTTGTGAGGCTACTGCAGCATCAACCAGCACCCGTACACCGTAGACACTTTGCAAATACTGTCTAAACCACTGCGCCACAGGTCCAGCCGTCTCGCAGCAGTAGAACGTTTGCCTTGGGCTCCAAGCGCTTACAGTCATCCCTAAGTGGACTTTCCTACTAATACTAAGCCTTCATTCTGCTGATTCAGAGCATGTCTTGGCTTTCGAGTGGCTTCTCCAAAGCTTCCTCGTCTAATTTTCATCTTCACTCTTGAAGTACAACACGAGCTCTCCGGGTCTCATGCTGAATTCTTTTTTACTGGAACGTCGACTTCCACCAGTGGGATTCCAACATTTCGACTTCCGGACGGAGCCAAACAACGTGCCCACGAGGCTGTGGCGATGAGTGTCGCTTTGACGTTTGACCTTGCCGTTCATGGCTCCGTCACCTCTCTGTCAAGAGCACAATTCGGCCCAATCCCTGTGGCGGCTGCAGCTTAAAGTACCTCAACGAAACCTATACCGGGCCACAATAAAAGAATCTTCTTCCTTTTGGCCGTTGCTGCAAGAATGTCGACTCCTTTTCCATCGAACCGAACAGACAACACCCCAAGGACCCTGGGAGGCAGCCAGACTGATAAACCCTCAGCCCTAAGTCGGTTGAGGGCTGCACTGGTCTCCCTTGAGCCGGCTGAAGGCTTCGCGACGAGATGAGGCAGTTTAACTCTGGGGGTACTTATGGGAGCAGACCTCAAAAACGTCAAAATTTTACAGGCAAGGCAAGCTGCAGATGATTCACTGACCTCGCCGCTGTACTTATACGACGGATCGCTTGGTCTCTTTCGCCGCGTGCAGCGCCCGTACTTCGCACGACGGCCGCCCAGGCAAAGCACCGCTCCTGTGGACCCAAAGCGCCGGACTGGAACCCGATACCAGTGCAACGCAGCAAGCAGGGACCACTCTGGGCCACGATAGAGGTCAGGAGACAGTTCAGAGCGACTGCGCGTGGCGGCTCGAAGCATCATCGGAAGCAGACTGCCGTTCACTAGCCAAGGCCACCTGCCAAAGTATGGCTTTGCATACCTCCGCGGTACCACGGCAAAGCGGTCGTTGATGCCATCCCAGTCCTCACACCCGAACTAAGACTGAGATTCGCATTGCAAACGCACATTTCAGGCACACCAAGTCCTGCCCGTCTGGAATCCACACAGCAGCTGGATCAGCTCGTTGAAAGGTGGACAAAGCGGGTGGCAGTGCAAGCCACAGCCAATCCAAGCGCGCAAATATCCAGTACTTGTAGCCTCACACCACAGCGTCGTCTGCAGCTCAAGCTCAGCCCGCTCAGAAAACTCAAAAACTGCCAAGACCTTCTTGGCGAGACTCGCTGGCCGCGAGCTGCTTCAGCGGCAGTCAGCTGCTCCCAGAAATGGAACAAGGTCCGAATGTGGAAAGCATTTCCTGAATCAGTCACGGGGTGCGCAACATCTTATGTTCAACATCTTATACCTTTGTTTTTCTTGTTTTCTTAACGCAATTCGGATGTGTTCTCGCGCCCTTCAGCGTCACAATTCTTGGCTCCCAGGTTCTGCCCTCTGCGATCGTCAGCGGGCCCAAAAAGTTGCCAGAGATTTGGCGATAGGCCTGTCGAGACAACTCACAGGGAAGCTTATCGCCTTCCACTTTTGGATTGGAAGCCGAAACTCCCGGATCCAGTCTGGTCTGGTTGCTCGCTGGTCTTTTTCATGTTGACATTTGGATCATCTGGGTCTTCAGGCCAAGACGTGCTGTCAACATTGATTGATGTGCAGATCTTCGTGGATGTAGGCTATGTAAGTTTGCTTCGTGCAGTGTGGACTTTGGTGGGCTTGCCAGAGTGTTATCTCTGGAACACAAGGACGGCCACCACGGCGAGTTCTACTTCGCAGCGGTAACTGCAGCAGCATGCGTGACACCATTGAACCTTGAGTTGGCCTCCAGAATGTGCGAGCCGTTTCTGCTGAACGAGTAGTACCGGAGGTCCTCAAGGGCGCGATGCGGTGCGCACTGGCCTCAATAGCACACGCTCATATATTCTACGCCAGTCCAACTGCATCATATTGCATTCCTTTACGCGAACATCCGATTCGAAGCTTGAGTCGTCACGCGTCCTCAAGCAGCCCGGACCGGCCGCGGCCGTCCACCTTTCAGAAGTGAACTCGACTGCTTGAAACCACTGGTGCATCGCACGCCTCGTACGAAACGCCCTTGAACCACGTTGTGTCAAGGCCGGCCACCTCCTTGGGCATCTGTTCTGCCTCAAGAAACCACGCGCAAATGATGGAAACCCCACCTTATGCTCCGGACTGGCTCCCTCAGACCCACCTTCCTGGCCAGCAGTGCGAATGCATCTGCCTGAAGAGTGTGGCAAACCCCCTCTGCCCGTTCGGCCTTCGCCGATGTCTGTAGGGCACCCTGCCTCCAGGACTTCTGCAGCCTTGGCAGCTTGCTCCAATGCCACCTGCTGCACCCAGGCCAGCAGCTTCGGCAGCTCAGCGTACATGGGGAAAGAGAGGCCCGTCACTGCAATCCGAGGCAAAATGCGCCTGCGGCGGTAGCCGGTGTGCCGGCCCTGCAAGACAGAGTGCCGAGGATGCGAGGCCTCTCGATGACTATTGCGCAAGAAGCGTGAACCTTGCATTAGAGTTACGTGCGTTGATGTTTGTACAACCTGCAGTTCGCAAAGCCTGCCATTGACAGAGCTTACCTGTTGTCTGCTCTTCAACTTCGCGCGAAGCTGCACAGCAAGGTGAATTACTTGCCTTTTGCCGTGCTCGCTGGTGCCAGGGCGACCATAGCTGGAGTCTCAACATCGCTTCTTCGTGCTTGTGGGCCTTGAGCGTATCAGAGCTTCTTGTTGTCTGTCTTCATACCTACACGCAACCATCACACATGCCAGGGCAGGTGACCTTGTCAATCCAACGCTGCCTGCGGTCTACATGGTTTGAGGTGGTAGATGCCTCTCGACCACACCATGGTGTCGTGTTGCTTGCCACGTGCCTAGGTCACCTCGTCACAGTTGACTTAAGTCGATCAGTAACTGAAGACGCTACTCGCTGGCCAAATGGCTACAATCGATGGGCTGCGACATGACAAACCATAAACGAATGCACGCTCATAGTTCGGCTGCTTCACGAAAAGCGCCCATGCCAGCGGGGCTTGCAACTGCAAACGACATGTTTGACATGCGACCTATGCCTGCAGCCTGCAGCTCCATCCTCGCGTGCGGCTCACTTCTAACTCCGAGGATGCAGCTGGCTCACCGAGATGGTCAGCGGTGCTCCCCGAAGTCGTGCCTCAGCACACGATGGAGAAACGAACGCATCTGGCTGCCTGAAGCCTGCTGGGCTCCAAGCAAGTACTTCCGCCGGTTCCACCCGCAATCACGCGCCCGGACACTGTCAGACTGAACTGGCCAGGCGGGCAGAAGAAGCAAAGCAGTTCTCAGCCAAATTGGGTTGAGCCATCGCTGTGATGTACAGTTTATATACCTGGTTCCTGAACACCCAAAGTTATTTCCAAAGATCCTTCTATGTCCTATGAGCACATCCGCACCTGTTGGCTGGAAGCACGAAGCACCTGGGCAACAACTGGCGAGGCCAGTCAAGCAGCGCTCCGCCGGCAGCTTCCCATGCGAAAAAGCAAGAAGCGAAAGCCACTCCAAAGATCCGTCATGTTAGTCTGGAAAGTCCTAGAGGAAAGTGAAGGTAGACAGAGTACCAGTATCAACACCTGAAGCCACCTGAAGCTGCGAGTGGTCCAGCAGTCAACACAATGCCAGCTCCTGCCTGCAGAAAGAAAAGCCAGCGAGGCGTCCGGCGCATCTCCTAAGACGCTTAGAAGGGCCCTTCATGCCGTGGGTTCGCACAGCTTGGACTGCTCTCAGCACTTGAGGGACCGACGCATCAACTGCAGGTTGCACAACCGTCCAACTGGAACCCTGCACAGAGGCCGGCACCACATGACAAGGCAAACTGCCTGGCAGGGTGTTATATTCCGCCCAACAACACAGACTTACATCGAAGAATTGAAGAACACAACATATAAAGATACAAACAAGAGTGAGAAGCTCCGAAATTGCAAGAGTTCCAAAAACCAAGTCTTGGCAGGAGGCACACAGCAAACGGTGGTGGCTTTCGAGCTTCTATTCTTCTGGATCTAGAAACAACACACGGCATTGAAAGGAAGATGCTGTTGCGCTGCGCCTCAATGCCGGCTTTGCTCCGCAAGGTTTCATGATGCTCAAAGGCGACACCGCACCAACAGGATCTACTTGTGTCTTGTGAGTTGCATGATGCTACATCTCATTGAGTGTTGTGGAATTGTGCCCGGAAGAGTTCACGGGTGCTCTTTGCCCTTCGGCCATGGCTCTTTAGAGCTGTGAGCCAGTCGTTGCTAGCTGCCATGGTCGCTGAAACGTCGGCAGGTGTCTGGGCAAGCTTCGGTGAAAGCCACAGCTGCAGCTCCTGCGCTTTTATCCCCAAGCTCGTGGGATGTCCCGGCATGGAAATCCCGTATGTGGAAATCCGTCCGAACTGTCAGGCTAGGGGCCTGCGGCTGATCCGCAACTCAGACCTGCTCGCAGACCTGGCTTCATTGGGTCTCCTCGCCCTTCCTCCTGAGCTCAGCAGCCCGTGTCGCATCCGGTAAACCAATCATTGCAAGGTGTGCGGGTCGGGGAGGCACCCCGTCCGCACCTTAACCCTGGCTAAGAATCCCGATAAGGACCCCAATGCGTTTTTCTCGTGACAAAGAAAAAATGCATCAGCTGTCACCTGCATGGAGCCTGGGCCTAGACATTTGACCTAGCCAGTCCTCAGAGTCCTGACCAAGCCTGCCACCTGTTGCTCCCTGGACAAGGGGAAAACTTACATCCACCAAAACCATTGCACTACATGTCAGCAGATAAGAAAAATCCTGCCGATTTTCCTCAAAAGAACTTAAAGAGCTTTTTGTTGCAGAGATCATCCATCCGACGGCTTTCCCGATCAAAGAGCTTCAGCTCAGAGTACACGGCATCCGTCATGATTCGGCGCACGGAGATCAGGCAGGTCAGAAGCAGGACCGGCAGCAGCAGCGACACAAGCACCGGAACTCGAAAGTCCATGCCGCATACGCCGACATCCACCAATTGCCCGTGTCTACCGCTGCCGGTAGTGTTGTCTAGGACAAACACAAAGCTCGGATGGCACCGCTCTGTCCAGCCACAAGCGCACTCCGCAGCACACCCTGGACGCCGAGCACCATCCCAAGCACACGGAAAAGATCGGTCAAACAACTTCCGAGAGTGTTTCGGGAGATTGGCAGACTCCTCGGAAGGACAGGGGCGAGGCCACAGTTTGCTAACGAGATGCGTCGAGACCACAACATAAGGGAAATCATTGGTGAATGCATCCGAGTGACACTCAGGCTGCGCGTAGAATTTTGACGCCGCGAAGTCACCCTTGCCATCGGTCGAAGGCGAACTTGCCAGAAATCAATTTTTATCGAAGCAAGATCGCTGATTGATGTTTGTTCACATGGGGTCAAAAACCTTCATACATTGCGTCCTGCTGTGTAACCATGAAGCCAGACTATACTGTTTTGCGTCCTTTCCACCGCGCCAGCTTGAAGCCTTGAGCAGAAGTAAGAGCACATCATGAGCTAGGCAAAGCACCTTCACCTACTTGTCGGGTATCATTGGGAACTAAAGGTTAACCTTTTGGTTATATAGGGATTATATAGGGGCTATATGGGACTATACCACCCAAAGAAGGTTAAAGGTTACCTACTCGACTACTAGGCTCAGGCTTCCGCATATCATATCCATCTCAAGCACATACATAAACTCAGCCCCGTCGATCACATGACATACGGTGGATGGACGAAATCTTGCACCACCCGCACATGCATACTTCAAACGAATAAGGCATCAAGCCCCTCATCCCGAACTGAACATTGGCAGCTGGGACTACATGACCGGTGCAAGATTTCGGCCATTGGAACAAATCTGGTCTCGAGCCTGACAGAGCCAATGCTAAAAAGGGGGGGCGGGGAATCATTAAACGACGCTGCTGAAAGTGATGCAAGATTTCGTCATTTCGTCCTTCCACAGTAGCACCACAGCTCCAAGTTTCGAGCTGGTGCCCTTGTTTGCATCCTTGTTAGCGCCAAAGGCTCCTGGAGTGCGGGATGCTACTTGTAACTCCAGGAAGGACTGGGCGGTGCTAGACGGTCTGCCTCCAGGATCTACGCCATGTCAGACCTCTGCTCTCTAGATTGGAGAGACGGCTGAACGCCTGCAGCCGCCGAGCCATGCAAAGGCATCTTGGCCGCATTGACCTGCTCGGCTTCACAGCCTTTCCCGACTGCTTCGCAACAAGGTCATGCTTTAGCACGACCGGAACATTGCGACCGCAGAAACGCGGAAAGCAAAGCTGCTCGTATCTTCCTATACAGATGGTGCATCGCGTTGCGGTCTGCCGACAGCAGACATGTGGTGACAGCGCACTTTCTCCAATTTGCATGGATGCTAGGCACGGCAATCGCCAAATAGCGTACGAGATGTCTGCAAATCACTTTCACCTCGCTTGTGTTGAATGCCAGGCCGGCACGAGCGTTTGCGAGCTATGCAGTCAACTTGCAAAGGGCGATTGGAACCGCGGATGGACGAAACATAACACGATGTGGAAATGCACGGCGCCTGCGGCTTTGTCTGCAACCCGTGGCTGCTGTATTCCCTGAGACATGTTTCGCCTCAGCAACATGCACACTAAACCTACAAGCAAAGACTAGCCCCAGCTTCATCGGCGAATCGATCTTCCAATTTGCAGAGAAAAGTAGACGGAAGCCTCGTGGCTAGGGCAAGAGTTCGGGACCGGGCAATGTTTTGCCTTCGTGCGAATGCATATATGCATGTACACATACGAACACACGGCTGTTCACTGAGGCACTGCCAGGCATTCGACGACCTCAACACAGGTCAACCATCTCTTACATCATTCACAAGCAGTTTAAGACTTGCCAAGCTGGCCGTTTTTGGTTCGAGCCTTTGCTGTGCAGGGGCCCAGACATGGAAAGGGAAGACCACAAGCACTTAAACGTCGCCCAGGTCCATTCCTGCCATGGCTTCACACGGCATTTTGCTCTGTTCCTCCTTGCCCGACGAGTCGTCTGTGCTGGGCTTAATCGGCAGCTACACTATGCAGTTGCACACGCATGAACACGCTTCCTCGAAAACAATGCCTGTGCTCTCAACTCCATGGTGCAGTTTGAACTCTGCATGGTTCATGCTAAGGCAAAAGAAGGGTAACCCCGCTTGCATGCTTTCTAGTGCAGATGCCGAAGGACAGCACCAGCGGCAGCATAAGGCGCACGTAGGTGTGGGTAGTGCTTGCACCCTGAAAAACTGCACCTTCGGAGCAGTCAATGGTGCACTCTACTATCATGCACTCTGCCTGCTCGGAGGCGCCGAGTCGGCTGACGACACTAAACTGCTGGGTATTCGGGAGGCACCGCCATCTCCCCTGTTCACCACTTTCCATTGAATGGCCCTTCGTTTTGAAAGGCCTCGCGACGGCCAACAAGATACGGCTTGGGCAAGGAATCTGCATCGACTAGCTCTGTTCGCACGAACCGACACAGCCGCCTTTACCACGTCCATACCCAAGCTCAGGGAAAAGGCGCGAAGGGCTGGCTGTCAGAAAGCATGAAAACCCATCTCACGTCTCCAGTTCGACAAGCCTTCAACGACGTGTAGCCTTGGGTTGCAACACAGAGGAGCATGTGCAATGAGGAGGTTGGTCCAAAGCCTCCACCACATGCAAGCAGGCAGTCAGCAGATCTTCATGCTTCTGATCTCGAGTTCGGCAAGTCTCGAACGAAAACCGCTGCCAGCCCTCATCACTGCTGCTGCACGAGCCAAGAATCTATGTACGAAGGACTCCTATTCCTACACACAAACCTCGCGTGGAAGAACTAATCCGGCAAGCACTCTCTCGAAGCTCAGCCAAGGGATGCCAAGAGTCATCTTCATGGTGACGCCCGGCGACTGGAACATATGCCTGGTGACAGGAAATCATGCCGGTCTACGTAATTACATAGGAACGACTTGGTTTTGCACAGAGGGCAGGGACGGCTCAAATTATCCAACAGACCATGGTGGGCACCACGAAGCTCAGCTCAGGTGACATGCAGACGCGAAGCCAAGGCAAAGTCACCGATCGCGTCGCCGAAGTTTCCTTTCATGCGTGCATGCTTTCTCGACAGACATCCCCTGCATGGATGCAGCACCGAGGGCCATGGATGAATAGCAAAGGGATACATATCATCGCTTTCACAAGGTCCCCGTGCCAAACTCAACGCGGGTACCGAGGCCCTTGCATGCCCTGGCCAAGTACCCAAAGAGACGGGGCGCAGCCTTGATCCATCTCAGGAAGCAAAGCACCAAAAACAATCAGCAGCTGCTTCCGCAGAATTTCCGCTTACCTGAGCTGGTGAGTTCTTGTGTCCTTCAGCCTAACTGCCTGTGATTCTGCGGCCACCTGCTCTTCGACGGCTTGGGTGGAAAGCTCACACAAGATGCACAAACATCAGTCCAGCGGAATACAGTGAACGGCAGACTACGCATCAGACAGGCACGTACTCAAGTTGGAACTCATCTTGATCCCCAGAGACACTGAAGGCAGATTGTTCGCGGTATGTCTACTCTTACACTCGGACTCCACCGGGCAAGGGTGAAGTGACAAACCTCTGACTCATCACAATCTCTGCTATAACGTCATCTACGCGCAAACCACAGCCTGCTCGGCCAGAGGGTGAACATCCTTTTTGCCAGTACTTCAGCCCGTGACCCAGCCGCTCGTGTTGAGGCTGCTAGGTGTACATAAGGCCAAGTAATCGGAATCAGATTGTTTCGGGCTTGCGGGCTCAGCCCTGTGCGATTTTGTTGGTGATGCCCAATTCATGATTGCTACATCTTCGGCTTCAGCCCGACAGAGTGGCCAGCAGCTACGCAACATTACGCAACTCTGAATGCGTGCACCCAGAAGCCCGAAACAGCGTCCAAGGCCTTTAGGCCTTCAGCATCAAACATTCAAGCTACAGGTGTCTCAAAACATCCCGCAGTCTTCGTCTTGGGCTGGCTCCTTCCACGAGGAAATCCGGGGCATCATCGGAAGCCTCTTCCTTGATCATGTCGCAAGGAGAATCAAGAAACCTGGCGACTGGCAAGCCAAAGTCATGCACTGGCGGCGTCGGGCTAGAGGGTGCAGGCGAGTAGAACCCGGGCCCTGGGCTTGGACTGCTCGGAGCAGACTTCCTTTGCCACCTTGACTCGGTACTGCCAAAGACCTCGTCGTAAGGTTGCATGCGCCACATCGGCAGCTCCCATGGCATCACAGGATCGTAGTCACAAGGAGAGGGAGAACCTCGTCGCACCACTCCCTCATATGCCCGGCGAAGTGCTCTCCTGGTCATAACATCGAGCCGCCGAAGTGGATCGGGAGGGATTACCTCCACCTCTCCGGGCGTATCGGGCGTAGTAGAGATAGCACAGAAACGCTCTTGGCGACTTCCGAAGGGCGGAGGGGTGGAGCCGACTGAGAGAGGCGGCTGCGTCGCGACCTCATCCAGCCAAGCAGAATGCGCTGCCTCCTCGTAATCGCCAGGCCCGGGCGTACTGCATGCCATCCGCCCTGCAAAGCGCTTCGCACGGCAGAAATCAGGCGATGGAGATCGAATTGACATGGAGTTCTGCAGCCCTGACTCGTAGCTGCCCGGGCCGGGCGGGGCACCCTTCCGAGTGATATGCCGAGAACCTCGCCCAGAGTCCTGCGAGCTGTCGAAGGGCACTTTCGATCCTGGTCCGCACATGCGTGCTGCGAGCTTCTCCGCAAAACCCACTGTGGCATAGTCACCTGGACTTGGCGTACCCTGTCGCTCCCTCGGCGTGGAGGTCTGGCGCTCCGTGCCTGAAGCGAAAGCAGAAGTGCGTCCGGATACTTTGCCCGGAAGACGACGCCTTGGTGAAGGTACTTCTTGTGAGTTGCTGCCGATCCACATAAAGACTTCATCCGCCTTGTCTCTGAAGGCCACTGTTTCATTGCCAAGGAGGCTTTTCATTCGTTTTCGTGGCACCACGTGCTTTCCAGAGCCTTTCGGGACAGCCAGGCTGGCTGTGATGGCGCCATGGCCCTGCCCCGCCTTGCGTCCGCAAGCACAAAGGTCGACTACGGCTAGGGCGGTCTCTTCTTGGCGACTCGTGCGTTCTCGAAGAGACCTCGTTCGAGCAGCCGACCTCAATGGCAATGAGCGCCGTTGCGGCCGCGGCGTGTCGTAACTTCCGGGGCCCGGTCCTTCGGCGGCCGTTTTCAGTCCCTCCAAGCGACTCAAACCCGACCTGAAGCTCGCATCACCGAGGGCCACGCGGTAAGCGGGCTCCGGCTCCCTCCTTCCGTAATAGGCCGGCCCGGGTGTGCACGGCAAGTCGGATGTGCACCTTTGGCTCGAGCTTAGGAAGCCGTACTGTGTCGTCGGCTCCTCGCAGTGCCCGACCAGCTGCACTGAGAGCGCACAAAGGGAGGCCATCACTCAGCACAAAAAGGGATTGCATGCAGATTCTACGATGGCGGGAACAGGAATTGGGGATGAGGGCCGCGAGGTTGACAGATATGTGAGGCATGTCCACAGCCAACAATGCCATGGCCCACACGGAGACTCCTCCATGATCCGAAATGCCAAGCCCGTCGAGATGGCAACAGAGTTCAAAAAGAATGCAGAAAGGACAGCCTTCATCCCCGCGTATCCCGTGCAACAAAACTACCGCTGCTACGACCAAAACCTTAATTCTGACAAGCACTGAAATGCTTCCGACGCAGCGGGCCCGAGATGAGCGTGCCCATCGGCCGGAGTTCTGCTAAGGCCTGCAGCTGTAGGCCGCCATACTAAAGTAATTCTGATACCAGAAGCACTGCTATAGCTATTGGCTCACACAGTTTTTTGCAGTGTCATGTTGGAACAATGGGCTGCGCCTCCATCTTTTTCATTGGCCTCGGCGCAACCCACGTTCTGTCAACATGAAGCGCTTCCGTGCTCCGCGCAGACATAACACATGCCAGTCTCAGTCTCAGGGGCTGATCCATGGGGGTAGTGCCTGCCACCTTATCTGGACCGTAGTTGGCCATGTCCAGACCTTGTCAGGATGAAAGGACGTGGCACGGGAATCCAGGATACACGGAAGCAAAGATGACTGGGCTTGGGCTTTCCCCATCTTGAGCCCAAGAGTTCCCAAGACGGGCCATCTCCGAGCTCCAGGACAAGTGATGAACTGCAGGAAATTTGCCGAAGAAGTGCTCGTCCAGGTAGGGAAGCTGGAAGATAACCTGCATCTGGAAAGCTTCGATTGTTGCGGATCTATCGGCACAGCTTGTGAATTGTAAGGTCGTTGACCTCTCCTCCGAGAGCGGCTGCCAGCTACCATCAACAATGTTTGCAGACATTTCGCCATGCTGGTTGAACCTCTGTGGCGGCTCTAGGGGAGCTGGTCCAATGCGAGGCGCATTTGTCCGGAGTGGTCTGATGCAGCGCCGTCACCGAACACGTCCACAGCAATTAACACTGCGCAACCGAAAACTAGATCACGGGTGCGGCAGTGTTGGAATCAGCCAATGCAGCGATGCCACCGTCTCAACCAGCTGCTCCTGCCCACGCACGAGGACGGAACTTTCACGGTTCACTTGGCTGTTATAACCTCGCCGTGCTTTTTGCAGGGTCGACCTTACTGCACCTTTGCACACGGAGTCTTGGGTGGTCAGACCAAAGGCTTCGGCGATTTACCTAATCTGAAGACAATTGTCCAAAGGCCAAAGGGGGAAAACACAGTCCTGGCTTTGCGAGAAGTTCAGGAAAGCATCCGGTGCGAGACAGTCCTGTCATCTATATCTCGTTAGACGCGGCCTGATGAGAAAGCATGGCAAGTCCTTGGCCAAGCTGTAGAAGCCAGCGCACAGGAAGTTTTCAACTTCCTGGCCCCACGGGTTCTGTTTCCAGAAACTAGGCAGGTTGCGACTGAAAGTCGACGAAGCACGCAAGCAAAGACATGCCTCTGGTGGCTTGATCAGGGCATCCGGAGCTTGCAAGTGTATGCCCAACCTGGCGACTCCAAGCCAGAAGCGAATCCGTGTGAGCTTCCGCCCAAGGCCTCCGGATACTGCATCTCTTCTCCAACTGGGTCAGTGGCAGCATGAAGGTGAACAGGCCGAGGGAATCCTTCCCAGTTACAGTTGGAATGCAAGTTTCGGTCGAACTTCGTGCACCCCGATTGTGATGCGAGCAGAAGTCGGGAGCATCCTCCAGACCCATGGCTATTACCACCTCCTCCAGCTGGAAAGCTTCGCTCGCCTTTGCTGCAGAAGCAGTTCCCAGCAAACGCACGCGAGGTTCCTCATCCCTTGCAACACTTGCTTTGGCACTTTCCGAGCTGTCCTTTAGTCTCACTGTTCCTTCGTTCCCGCCGTCGAGCGGCTGGATCCAGCAAACGAAGCATCCTCACTGCATGATTGGGACAGAAAAGTTCAAACGTCAGGAAAATACTCAATGCATTCGCCTGTCGCTTGTGCGTGTAAGTGTAAGACTTCTCTGTCGTTCTGTGGGCCTGAAGCATGTCTTGGGTTTGGGGTGGGGGCCCTCAACCCACACATGCATATGCTCACACATACACTCACACAAGAAACAAACAAAAACTCTGGTCCATGTCCTACACTGCTTAGGAGTCAGTGTTCTGGAGAGCTGCAACGATTTTCTGAAGCCAATTCGCTTGAAATTGGATAGGTGCGTCTTTGGCAAATGCGCAGAAGCTCTGAAAAGCGGTCGATAACTTGGTCTGCCGGCAAGAAATATGCGTGCAGCCCGCTGCCAGCTTGTTTTCCTGGCAGGCGGTAGGGCACCACCAGGCCCCTTTTTTACTGCCGTGGGGCACCGGCATCCCGTGGGCGACGCCAACAACTACGGACACACTGAATAGCCTGTTTTGCTACACCTCTAACAGCTTAGATTTGATTTCACGTTCCCCACACCTGCTCTCGCCCCGAAGTAATGGTCGTGAGTGATGATCATAGCTAACTTTAGAACTTTGGCGTTCCCTTTATATCTTCTTGTCTATACGGGCCTCCTCATGCTTGCGGCTGTAGAATACGATCGTAAGAGAGAACCCTGGCTGGATGGGTCAAAGGTCGTCTGAAAACGTGACCTAGCAGAGACAACTGTTGCAACTTGACCTCAGAGAGATAGAGCACTCCCAATTGACCGCCAGGCCCCGCTTAAGGTGCCTTTTGGAATTACGGAGGTCTCTTCGTCTCCCTGTGGCAGGGGACCGGGAGTGACAACGTGCCCGCTTGAGGACTACCTCCCTTGCAGCCTGGACTTGTTTGCTGTCTTGATTGCTTGGTTTCTGGTTGTGCTCATTCCGCGCGGGGCTTCTGCAATGTAAACTATATCATGGCTGCATGGATCACTGAGTGGATCATAAATTCAGTGGCAGGAACCCACGCGCCGCTCGGCAGCCCCCCACAGCAAACTGTCCTCCCCCTTTCCCAATTTGAGCATGCACTCTGGTCTGTAATACCTGGTTGTTCTCTGCCTGTCCCTTCTCAGGGGCTAAACTGCGTGGTGTTGCGCTTCCCTGTGCACACATCCTGTTGGAAACGATGGCGAAACGCCTGTGCCTACCAGCACGCACTGCACCCTGGCACTCTATAGCTCCCGTGGGACCCTGCAGTCTGTGCCATGACATGTCCAAACCTCCAGTTAGTTCGGTGCTAGGGCGAGGTGTGCGGTCCGTTTCCTGGAAGAGGGAGCCAGGGCGAGTAGAGCTCTGCATGTATGTAGGAGGGAGCCAGGGCGAGTGTATCTCTGTATCTTTCTCTTTCGTGTTTTGTCTTGCATCGTGCTCCCACCCAATGTCGTCACTGATGCTGTGCAGTATGGTGCGAACACAGAATGGGCTGGTGCTCATCAAGCTCACAGCCATGCCGACCAGGGCACGGTGCCGAGATGGTACCCAGGCGCCTCAAGGCGCGTGCTCCGCGCAGGGCAGTGGCCATGTGCAGGAGCGCACCTGCTCGGTTCCAAACCCTTGGAAGAGACACTACCTCAAAGTGGCAACGTACGGCCCTGCATGTGAGGGCAGTGATGTGCATCATGAGTTCAATGCTAATGCGAACACCCGATAACCCGCGCGGTTTTGCCTCCGGACAATCCGGCGAGAGCATCCATCTGGAGGCGAACGAGCCTTTGGAAGACGCCGCCTGCAGAGATTCGATCACGAGTAAGCACAGCAGGGTGCTTAGTCCCTTCCTTCTTGCTTCCTTCCCCAATGGTGTTTATGTGCAGCATGACGATGCTCGCACGTGAAGATGGGTGCGGCTTTTGGGAATGAGCTTTTGGGCACTCCGCTCATCGCGACCTAAGAGGCCTTCGCCGGCGAAGGGCATCGTCAGCAGGTTGGCGGCCTCAGAGCTCTGAGAGCCTCTTCCGGCTTCGGAAGGGGGAGCTGCCCCAATGCACGACGGACGACGGGCGGGGTTGGTCGCCCAAACACTTCCAAGAAGAGTGGAAATCTCCAAGAACAAAACCAAAACATCTGCCATTCGGATCGCCGCGACAGAAACATTCACGCAGACTCTCAAACGCTTGAGCAGTTCCGGCCGGCGAACACCTAACCCAACACTTGGTTCGGGCAGGCTGGGCTGCAGCTGAGGCTCAAGAAAGTAACTACCCTCCACCCCCTCTCCATGAGCTGTGCCTGGCTGCATACATGGTGCTCTCACGGCCGTCACTTCACGAAAGATGCCGCAGCATCAGTCACTGCTTTAGGTACGCGAAAATGGTGCTACCTGGCCTGGAACTTCGTGAAAGCTGATGCGAAAATCAGGCAAAGCCACCTTGAACAAGTCATCACTGGAACGGACTAGCATGAAAGTTGAGAGGGACCGAACCCCTAGGCAACTTCTGCCTTTCTGTTCTTGCTCTTGATTTCCTGAGGAGCGGCCTTCTCCAGAGGCGATAACATAACCATGAAATTGGCGGCAAAGTGACAAATTTCGAGAGGCACAGTGGAGGCAGCAGGCTTGGGAGCATGTCCAGATGCAGCCGCTCAAGGTTCGGAAAAACTCTGTAAATCCTTAGTTGAAGTGTGAGTACCAGGGCTTGGCGGGGCATGCAGAAATCATGTTTACTCTGATGGGAACAGCAAGCTGTTGCAACCATAGGCTGGAAAACTGGAGAGATGTAGAACGAAAGCCAAGCCACTCGCAAAATGCGTTCTCAGATAGCGCCGCTGCAGGCTCCCCTGGATTGCAGAGGGGCTGGTTTGAATCTGCTTGAAAACCAACCGGGTAAGTCCGAGTCTTACCTAAATCGATCGTGCTTGGAGCTGACAGTGGGATGGTGCGCCGCTGGAGAAGCGTTCTCGATATTTCTCGCAAGCCAGGAGGCAGCAGAATACTTTGACTCTGGTGACTTTCGGGAGCGTCAGCCCTGTCGGGAATCCACAAATCCTGGGTATCAGTACGCTCCAGTGCGCTCGGAAAGGCAGAGCCGTGTGGTTGCCTCGATCGCAACCAAGATTCTGCTGCAGTTTCATCTCTATAGCCACAACCTCAAACCGAGACTACAGGTTCCCGCACTAGCCCGATAGCACCGGACCTGGCTAGCAAAGTGCCGAAACACGGCAAGCCGCATCGCAGAGCTGCTCGGCCCTTTCCAGCAGAATCCAAGGCATGCCTCAAGTCACAGATGATGTGGGAGCATCTCCGAGCTTCAAAAATGACTCGGAGATGATGTGGGAAGTGGTTGGCCTAGTGAAACAAACACGCATTAGCCCCAGATCGAAGACATTTCGTGCGTCGGACGTTTCCTGCAGTTCGCATACTCTTCTAAACTTCGTGATCTGATGCCAAGCAGCAGCCACGCAGCTTTGTTGTGCAGATTCGCAGTGGCAACTCAAGGAAATCCAGATGCGCCGCGGAGCACACGCACTGAATCTGCCCAAAACAGGGCACTTCCGGGAATCGCACAAAAGGCTCAGAAGATCAGCATCCACAGCCTTTTCACATTCGTCCCACTTGACCATCGGTGCAAGCCTGAACTTTGTGCCATGGGTTCAAGCGATTCAAGAACGAACACTTTTTGCAGCAAGGTGTCTTTATGAGCAGCCGGAAAAGCCACACCTTCTCCAAGGGTGTCGCGCCTTCCAAAACCGTGACCGAAAAGCTTCTAAACGTCAGGGAGCGCGCAAGCACAAGTCTGGAGGCCAAGACGCGTAAGGGGCACCGACAATATATCGGCAGAGGCCCGCTCACCGGAGCCTCTGCACACATCAATGCTTCGACATCAGCGCAACACATGAGATTTTCCAAGTCCAAGCCCTCTGTCGACTCCTCACTTGTGCAGATGTGCTACACGGGTGTGCGCTGAAAAGATGTGAGGGCAATAGACGGAGGAGGAGGCAGACACAAAACAGATGTTGGCTGGAGTGCTGCGCGACCCTCCGCCCTCACTCTTTCCTGTGCACGACGGGGACGTGGCCTGCAGCACTCTGATGCGGGCTCCTTGGCAGGTAAATGGAGAAGCGGTGCCAGGATGTGCCAGGCATGTTCGCTGGCCCACGTGTAACTGCTGAAGCCCTCGTCTGATGTCGCCAGTTGGACCAAGCATTCCTAGACTCCTAGAACAGTCCAGGAGCTCTGCACCCGGCGCTGCACCACAGCGGCCGTGCCGGCCCTCTCCACCGGCTCGGGTACTTCCTAAGCCCAGCAGCACGCAGTCGCTGACCCGTCGGATCAAACTAGAAACGGCCCGTGCATCCTTGCAATCAGCTGCCAAGAAGCAAATTTCAAACGAATGCATACAAAGCTGGATAAGACTGCACGGATCTGGCGCGAAGCACAGAATAAGCATCTGGAATCAGCCACCTAAGGGGCACGGCAGCTGAAGAAGTTGGGTAATGAGTCCATGCACTGAAGCTCAGGACGTGGTGACCTACAAAGCCTGAATCATGTGAACCACATCACGGGCCACACGGCCACAAGTCACAAGTGCATCTAATGGGTGCTCAGCCGCTGCCACATGATCTGGAATGGGCACCTCGATTTGCGGTGCTGTACATCAATAGCTCTGGAATGAAAATGCTCTGGGCTCTTTTCGCAATCTCGGAGCACAGGAAGCTTGACGAACTGCTAACTAAATTTCTGCCCGGATGATCTCGGACCACACGATAACTCCAGTAGCTCTAGTAGATGCCGGGTTCAAAAGCCTCTCGGCACCACGCAGGTTCTCAACAGGGGACTCGTCGCTTCAGCAAGCGCCGAAGATCCGGGGCTGCCTGACGACCAGGGCCCAAGCCTACCGAAGCAGTCTTGCAAGACAAAGCAACACTCGCCTGAAGCCAGCGGAAAGCCTTCGAACCCGCACAAACAAAACAACACACACACGCCCTCTCAAACTTTACTTATGGGAGTTTCCGAAAACAAGGCAGCCTAATTTAGCACCCTCAATAGTAGGATCCTTATTTTGCCTTCCGAAGCTCTGTTCATGCGCATTTGGCACCAGTTTTTAAAACCCTTTCGCTTCGGTCGGTATGTACAAGGTTCTCTGATTTCGGGATTCGGATTTACCGGTGCATGCAGGGTTGTTTGCACTTCGACGGATTTGGAGGGAAGGGGTTGGGGGAGCGGGGCGGCTAATTCCGTGATGTCAGCTTCACTTGTTGTTCGCTTCATGAAAAGCTTCCACGTGCACGGTCGCGGATTTAGGCTTGCGCCGTGAAGGTGGGCAGATGGTAGGACTGCAAGTATGGACTGAAACTGTTGTGTTTGAGGAACTTCGCATTAGACTTCTTCAACTTGTTATTGTGCCATTGAATTTAGGTTGTGGAGTCCGAGGCGTCCAAAGATGCATACATACCTCATACATCCATACATACATACATAACTGTCGCTGTCATGGTGAAGATCCTCGCGAAGAAGTTTCAAGCGCCGGAGGACCGGAATGCCTGGAGGAAGGTCAACAAGTAAACTCCTAGAACCCTGCACCCTCAGCCCTGCAAAGTCCCTAGATACTGACACATGACTGATACTTCGGCTCTGAAAATAAGTCTTAGATTCTGCTCCGAATGCCGTGTATAACACAGCGTTTCCGCGTCGAAAGCTCCTCTCACGCGCTGAAGCGCTTCCACAAAACGCATGAAACGCAACCCAGACAAAAAAAAATAAAAAAAAAAAAAAACTGTATACCCCGCAAAATGCACACAAACACATCGACATCAGAACATGCCGCGCTTGCCACGGCTTTAGAAGATAATACCGTCGATGCCACTCAAGAACAACTTAAAACATACATTTGTGTCTTGCGTTCGCGCCTGCGTTAAGCCGTCTGCGTGCCGTGCCTGCTGAGACGGCTTGCAATCAAAGCAAAATCACAAATTCCCCGGTTTTTGTCACTACGCACGACATATATGACCTCCCCATGTGCTCAAAGACCTCCGCGTCCTGGTTTTTCCGAGGCGAAATGCTCCTGCATATTTCCAGCTTCTTGTCACTGTCTCGATTTCTTATTGTTCTAGCAACGTACAAAGCACAAATTCCTCGAGTTTTTGACACTTCCTGACAAAGCTCCGTCCATGAACAGACCGAACAAAACACACTGTGTTGGCATCTTCGTGGCTTCAAAATACTCTTGCTTGCACGTGTGCCACAGCCATTTTTGAAGTTGTGTCGCGTTTTGCCGCAGAAACGTGTCATTTCCACACCCAGAAAAATCAACAAACATGTTGCGTTTGTGGCGGTATTTACAATACAAAACGCTTGCCCGTGCGGCCACACGCGCTAACAGGGCATCTCCCCACACACACACACACACAAACACACACAAACACACACAAACACACACAAACACACACAAACACACACAAACACACAAACACACACACACACACACACACATTGGCTCGGCACGAACTGATGCTGCGAAAGACAGACAGGACCAAACAAGACAAGACAGATTGCAGTAACACATGCAGTTTCACTGGAGGCCAATTATGGTACCAACAGCTTTCTTTTGGGGTAGTTTGGGCGGCCTTTATGCAGGTACGTCCAACGGCGTCCCGTTGGACATCACCAGCTGTTGGTCAGTGTCTTCGTTGGTGCAAGACTGAACGAGCTGCTTGCACCCCCTGCTGGAAACTTCATATCAGCACTGAGCGATTCGAGACACTTGCCTGAAACTTCACGTCGGCACTGAGCTACTCAGAAAAAAGGCTCAAGCGGTCACCATGTTCAGGTGTGCACACACAGATATGTATATATATATATATACATACATAGAGATAGCTAGGTAGGCAGGCAGGCAGGCAAGTAGGAACCCAGGTATGTGTGGTGGCATGTAGGAAGGTAGGTAGAACACGAAGGAAGATAGAGAGACAGAGAGAGAGAGAGGGAGAGAGAGAGAGAGAGATAAAAACAAAGAGAGATTTTGTCCGTATACATTATTATATTTATACATATATATATATATACATATATGTGTGTACACATATTTGCCCTCGAAGCCTCAGAGCACACAATCCGTGTTGAACTTGAACCCGAAGTTCCCAAATGAGTCTCCGCGTCTATCCCAAACCTCTCAATCTTCGGCTACTGCCTGGCCAGGTCCTGCAGGATGCCCAGCAGAAGCCGAGGCATCAACGTCCATGGGATGGCTGGGAAATTGTGGTCTTGCATGGAATTGTGCGTGCATGGAAGTGTTGTGCGTATTGTGCGTGTGCACTTTCAGGAAATACTGCTTCTACGCTGTCTCGCTACACGAACAGGACTGTTGCGTAGCCTCTGGCAGCTGACGGTACTCACAACAAGGCCCCTCATGCCCCATCACAACTTGTAGCACCTTGCATCCCGAGCATTCCAAGCCGGCCAGTATCCTGGTACCACTTTGCGTTTGCATGGGCGTGTCGTCTGAGCAAGACTTGAAAGCCACGCACGGCAGAGAAGTCCAACACAAACACTAGACCCAATCGTTCTCGTGGAACTCCGGCTGGAATGCCGCTGAGCTTGCAGCAGCCGCGCCGCAGCAGATCGTCAGCCTTCGGGCGGAGAGAATTTGTTTCCTGGTGGTTCGGCAGAACATGACTCGGTAGGGGCTGGCTCTCGACGGGTTTCTTTGCGCAATCTAGCACATGTGCGAGTCAGGCTAAGCTAGCTGGACACCAGCACCTGCGTCACAACCACTCATGCATGTTGCTGCACACCTCTGCATGATCGAGTGTCTTCGACCATGCGTTTCACCCCAGTTTAGCCACTGCTGCTGAGTGCTGGCCTTGGTCGTCGCGCATGGTGCGGCCTGGCCAGGCGCCTTCCAGAGTCCACCGGCGGTCCATGTCCGTCAAGGCAGTCTCGAATTGCGGCTCTGGGCTCTGGGATGTACGCTGACTAGCAGGCTCCTGCCTTAAGTCTCCATGACGTTTACCGGAGGATGAATTGGAGGGCAAAGGTTCGGGTTGCATTTGCTGTGCCCTTCCTCGCAGAGGCTGCTCTTTCTCCTGCAAGAGCAAGTCGAGTCTAAATGTTCAATCGTATGCTCAGTGCCGGAATCTCCGTCCTCAACGGCTTTCTGCTTGTTGAAGCTGTCTTTGGTCATCTGGGCAAAGCAGGTTTACGGCAAGAAATCATCGATAATCACACTTACACGGTCTCATGAACCAACTGGCATTACAGTCTAACGACGTATCATTACGACCTTCGTAACCATTACCACGACAGATTTTCCTGTACAACCAGGTAGGGTTTGACAAGGGATCGGAGAAGCTCGCTTTTTATTAGCGCCTGCGAGCAAGAAAGCTCATTTCGCAAGATGCAAAATGGTGCAAGCCGCAAGCACATGTCATCACAAGTTCAGGCACAGACCCATCGCTCTTTGAGCTTCGGCCATGCGATGGACTTGAATTCCTGCCAACGCATGAAGACCCCTCGACTCAGAACGGCAACAGCGCAAGTCACCAGCGGCCTCGTAGTCGAAAGCCACCCTGATTCCGAGTCAGACGGCGAATTGTGCCGTAGCGAACTGTGTCTGCCGGACGTGCGGTCGACTCGGGTGCGGGCTCTTTTAGATGCCTCCTTGGTGAGATCGGGCTTGCCGCTTGCACTGCTGCTGGCTGTCACAGGCATTCGTGTTTGTGCGACTGCAAAGTCCAAGTGGCTCTTTTGCAAAGCCAAGAACAACCTCTCGAGGCAAAATCCGCCTAGGTCCGCGCGAAATCAGCATTCCCGACAATGAAGTCCCAAAGCCGTACAACACTGTACATTGCATTTCCCAACATCCCGTATGGCCCCAACGAGCGGCCCAGCTCACTCGCAAGAACTTTCGGCGGTTCGCCGGGCTTCCTCGGGCAGCTCCAGCTACTGCCAGCGACGTGAGGTGCGGCAGGTGATTTCCGGCACGTCACATCGCAGGTCCGCATAGAAGCGTGAAGAGCTTCTCCAGGTCCTTGCATGTGCAGACATCACCAGACGAAGGGACCGTCTTGTTCCATGGTGGGGAGCCAAACCGAGGTCGCGGCTTGATCCGTTGCTGTAAACCTATGGGAGATGATGTCGTAGCACTGGCAAGCAGCTGGAGCAACACGCACAAAGTGCACAGTTGGTCATTCAAACATTTGTTGTTGACATCTCATCTGCCGTGATCTCCGACGGGGGGGCAGCAACAAAGAAGCGCACAAGCAGCAAAAGTGTTTTGTGTCAGGCAAGGCGACTGTCGGCCCGGTGCTGGCTACATCCTAAAATGTGCCTCAGCTGTCACGACTCAAAGAACCTCTTGTCGTGGATTGCGACTTGGTCAAGAGGCTCCCTACGCTTGTGTTTGAGGGGTTTGACATGTCAGTGTGGACTCGTCGATGCCAACACGGAGGCGCATTGTGAGACAAATGGCCCTTGCACAAAGCTCTGGTCGCAGCATGAACCCAATAGTTGGCAGCTCGCCCTTAGATTACCGTGGATCTTACTTACTACATTACCTCGGGCAGGAGGTTAGGGCTGGCCGTTGCTGTCCTCATCGCAGCGCACAGACGGACGAATCTGCTTCATTATAATTTATGACTGGGGCTGCGAAATTTGTCCATGGAGTTTCAGACATTGGCGAATGTTGGAGATAGACATGCTTCAAAACAGGGCCGATTACAACAGAAACCCCGCTTCTTTGTCAAAGCAGCAAACAGTCACAAGCATCTCAAGACATCGGGGCTCGAAGGGCAAACACCACGAGTGTTCAAGAATGTAGATCATGTCTCGGTTACGACCAACGTTGTCACCCAAGCCAACTGCACGTGACGCTTGAGGTTTGTCTGGCACGTTGCGTGGGGCCACTGGTTTGTTGCTTCTGGCGCTTCGAAGTTCCGAGTGGGCGGTCAACCTGTCCATGGCGTGATTGGAGTTTTGCAGATGAGGCAGTAATGATGAGGCCGATTGCCGTTGGCTTCAAATTTCGAGCTCCGGCCTAAATGAACACATGCACTATTGCTGGCTGATGATGTGGCGGGTTCACTTTGCCACCGTCTGCAGGCACGAAGCCAGGCGGGTTGCCACCTCATGCACTTCGACGCAAGTTTTTCCTGAAAAAAACTTCGTGCATAGATTGGAAAGGTTGCGATCAACAGTGCCGTGGGTGATGCGGTGGATCGATGACAGAGTCGCTCTGTGCAGTCCCAGATGGGCTCAGAATGGCTCAGGTGTCATCGCCGGCGCTTGTTTCCTTGCAGAGCTTCCGATACAAGTGGCTACTATCAGAAATTGGGAAGAAGCCCAAGGACCTCCTTGCAGGAGAGCGATGGCCTCGGCCTCTGTCAGCAGCTTCCTGTAAGTCTCAGCCCCACTTCGGCCCTGGGCTTTGGGCAAAAAACGGCCCTCCCCGTCCTCGACCCGCCGTAGAGAGCCAGTTCGGCCCGGCGCAGCCGTTCGTCGAGCTCCGAGTCTCCTCATCCAGAGAATGGGAAGAACCGTCCTCTCTCCAATAGAAACTGAGGCACCAACGTAGCTGCCCGACCTTGCAACACACGAATTACAAGAGGAAGATGTGGATCAAGGCAGTGGCTGGCGTGCAAAAAGCACTGTGACATGCAAGACAATTGACGCCAGTCTGGTCTGGGCGTTCGGCATATTTTCTCTGCACACCTGACAAGCTGGGAAGTCATGAATACTTAATGTTGGGCAGAGGCTTCAGAGCTAGGACTCAAGGCCACGGTTCTCGCCTCCAACATGGTCAACCTGAGCCTCGGGAACGCCGATCTCCTGGCTCGATCTGAGGTCTTAGACGAAGGCACCCTCGCATCGTTCCAGATGGATCTAAACTTTAAACAGGCACTCGGTCAATCTTTGCTGATCCCTACAGCACCTTCTTTGACAGGAGCTGGCGGCCGGGACTCCTGTCCATACTCCCACGTACGACAACTCTGGTAGGTTCCGCCGTGTCCATCTGATCATAACACAGGCTGTGTGACAGACCCCAGCGGCAACCCGGAACTGCATGTCGGCATCATGTCCTTTCGGCGCTCCCATCTGCACGCTTTTCGAGATCACAAGGCTCACCTGCAGCTGCAGACTTGCTCTGACTCTGACCACAGCCATCCTCCAAAGTCTAGGACCCAGCTGTTAGCTACTCGGCCTACACAAGGGGGCACAGTCAAAACTGAAGCTGTGCCGTCCCTGTCACAACTAAGGGTGGATGCAAGACGAGGAGGAGGCCAAGTATTGGACACGAAAGCCCGTATGCCGCCATGGCGCTCTCTTCGTCTGATGAGCGTCCACCTGCCCGTCGAAGTCGATCTCAACCCCGCTCGAAAAACAACACACCGTCGAACTGGCGAGAAATGCCTGCCCTGCGTTTATCCATCTCCTTCTTTTTCTTCCACTCTTTTCTCCACTCCTCATTGCAGGAATCAGACGGGCGCGTCAGTAACTAGTCACCCTCCAAGCACATCAGCTCAACATGCGTGTCATCATGCCGCAAGGTTTGGCAATGCTAGGAGCTCCCTCTCCAGTGTGACTTAGAGCGCATCATACGACGACCGATATTCACCCCACGTGTCGGCCATGATGCTGCTCCAGTCTGACAGGCACCAACCATGCTCCTCCCGCAACCTCTTCTCCTTTTGCCTTTTTCGTCTTCTTATTTCCGAAGAGTCGTCATCATCGTCGTAGTATCCTTGCTGCCGTGACTGGGAACCGTTTGCAGGGCAAGCTTCCGTGCACAATTCCTTGCTATGGTGTCAAGAGGCGATCGTATGAACGACTTCGGTCTCCGCGACCCCGTGCATATGGATCCTTTACACACAGACAAAGGAGACAACGAGTGCACGACTCTCAGGCGAGGGCAGATGGCCTCCGAAAGGCGCCCGCCCGCACCCGAACGGCTTCGGTAGCGCCTGTCCTCCTCCGAGTCCTCAAAGACGCCACAAAAAAAAAAAAAAACCGGGCTCGGACCCGAATCCCACAACTATCCGCTCCCGCTCTCTGCTCTCCGAATCTCCTCATCGCATCTCCCTGCTCTTCCTCAGCCGCACATCCAGACAGCTAGCCAGCAGGGACAGTAGCTGCGCCTTCGCATCTCGTTGCTGACAAGGCTCTCTTTTTCTTTCTACCCCGCCGATTTTCGCGGCCCTGGCTATCAAGGGAATACTCCTCCTCGACATCCTGTATCAGTGCATCGCATCGAAGACATGATGGGGCCCCGAACTGTTTAAGGGCAAAGCGCTGTCGTGCCTGGAATCTTGTCGCAGCCTTCTGCTTGGCCCGCCGCTCTGCCTTCAGGTTCTTCTCATCCTTGCAAAAATATTGTTTTCTGCTCCCCGAGTGGCTTGAAAGGTTTCTTGTCTTCGGGGTCCTTTTCTTCCTCTGGCTCTTGGTCCGCAGGCCTGCCAGCGCAGGGCCAAGGCAATGTGACATGATGGTGGCCCCAAGCTACGCACCCTTGTGGCGGCTCGTCGTCCGGTCGCGAGGTGACAACCACAGTTGGCTTCTGGCCAATCCGTAGCTCGAGGACCTGCGGCCGTCTGCGGCCACTGACTATCATTGAGGACCAAAGGATTGCAAAATCCAGGGCATAGACCACCCCTGAACTCTCAGCAGTCCATTCCAGCTGCAATCCAAGACGCACTTTTGGGCGCCACCTTTTTCTTCCCACTGGCCTTGGCCTTGAAACGCGACCGTCAAGCAGCAGTCATCACGCACATGCGACAACTGACCAAATCAAACCTCGATTTCGACACGCAGCAGCAAGAAAGCTGAGGTCAAAGCGTTCGGATTCAAGAAGCCGGAAGCCTTGGTCAATAAACACGACCATGAAATGCCAAGGGGTCGAAGCGAGCTTGACTCCGGGCCAGGTCCCGTGCATCCACCTCCTCCTCTGGCTGCGGCGGCTTCGACGCGGCCACCTCGGCCTGCTTCTCATCCTGAGCGACACGTGAGAAGGGGCAAATGATGGCATTACGGTGAAGGCCTGTTCAAACAGCAGAACGATGCCGAGGCCCGGAAAAACAACGACAGCCCGGATTTCGAAAGCTTGTCGCACCCGTGCTCTAGTAGTTGCTAGTGGGCTTTGACTAGGGGGCCAGTTGCTGTTCCAACTGCAAATGCTTCCCACCCCTTTTGTCCCCCGGGCGGGGTTGTGGATTTGCAAGAAGTTCCAGCTGGTCGAGTCGACAGTTGAAGGCCTGCGAAGCAGGATCTACCTGGTACCTCCTGAGAAGAGTAAGTATCCTGCCTCTGAGTGAATACATGGTCAATCTAACCTTGACTGGGGGGGGGGGGCAGAATGGAAAATTGCTTCGGGGCAGAACTGGTTGGAGAAGAACTAGTCGAACGAATTGAAAGCAAGCTGCGATGCGCCGGCGCAGCTCCGCCATCTCCTCGGCCTGCTCCGGGACTCCGGATGCAACCGCACCAAGGATTCCCGTCATTGTGCGAACTCGTTCATCTTGTCAGACGTCACATCTAGAAACTCTAAAGCCGCCTGTTTTCGTTGGGTTTGCGCCTCCCGGGCATTGCCCGGCACGGGGCCTGCAAAATGAAGCCAGCCGAGTGTCTGAGTCTGAGTCTGGAAAGCATCGCAGCTTGCTGTGTCTGCACTCGCTTCGACACGCTTCCACCCACGCTTGGCCACCCAACCTTGCCCGGGCACTGCTTCGCCGCCTGCCAGTGGCCCCAAGCCTCCGTGCTTCTGGTGCGGGAAAAGCCGTTGCACCACTCATACCACTGAATTCCTGCTTGTCCCGTGGCCTAACTTGGCGGCCCAGTCGAGCTTGTCCTTAGTGGCTCTAGCTCTAAAATCCCGCCATGAAGCCCATGACTGCTGACTGAACTTTGAGGAACTGTATCTTTAAGTCAGGACACCCGTCGACTTCTGTTGAGACGATCCGCCATGGCTGCAAAGGCCGAGACCCGGAGACTGTGAGTCGCCCGATGGGGGCGCAAGTTGTGCAAGCACGGCTTCTGTAGAGTACTTTGAGTGAAGTCTGGTCCCAGATTGGCTTGTGAGTAGGGGCGCATGGCCATGACGTGCTGGGTTCCATCATCTCGTCTTCATTGTCTCGAGGTTCATGGACGGTACTGAAGGACTTAAGGCATTCGAGTGCGACTGACAGGATTTGACATGCCCAGCTGCGAGCAGGAGCGGCCATTCGCATCGGATCTTTGCGGTGAGGCCAGTGGCACGTTGTCACATGCGAATCAACTTCCGACCAGCAGCTGCAATGGCGGCCAACCCAAAGCGCAAACTTGAGGCAAACTGCAGCCAACGCCTCGCGAAGCTCGGCCCATCTCAGCATCTTTGCACGATCCTTTGGCCGGCGCTGCATTGGACTTGAGTGCGACTTGAAGCCGCGACTTGAACATGGCAGCGGCGTCCTCGATCGTAGCAGTCGGCCACACCATCGCAAGGAAATCCTGCCAGGAAACGCGCCGCTCCGCGAAGCGCGGATGCAAACCTCCCCACACCTCCAGTCTCACAGGAACCGCCGAGCAGCGGAAGCGGCACTCGAGCCTCAAGCAGGATTTCAGGCCGGACTCACATCAAATTCACTGAAGACATAGGTCATACGTGCGTTATTATCATAAGGCAGGCGAAAGGCAGACAGATAACAGATGGGCCGATGAATAGCTAGACAATTTGATTTACGTTGATCTGAAGCTGGGTGGAAAAGTACATTTGTTGCTTGACAGATTAACAGGTCGGCACGCAGAGAGACACAAACATCCAGACATACAGACGCACAAGCGGTGCCACATGCATGGCTGCGTGGCGGCTATGCTCCGGGCAGATCCAGGGGAGCTCCGAAGCAAAAAAGATATGCAGACGAGCATGCAGTGCGTATGTACGCAGGTAGGTAGGCATGTAGGTATGTAGGGATGTCAGTAGGTAGGTAGGCATGTATGCATGTATGTATGTACGTACACATATTACGCATGTGTGCATGTGTTGTACGTATGTATGAACGTGTATGCATGAACGAATGCATGTGTGCATTTGTGTGTGTGTGTATATGTATGTCAGTTACTACGATCGCAGACGTTCGGTGCCCTCACTGAACAGACTATCGGCGATCGCACCTTTTTCATGCGACCGCAACGTGGGAGTCGGCCACAGTCGGATCATCAAAATTTCACTTGATCTTCACAAGTCCGATCGGACCCCCGATCGCCGAGGGGTGCGCCATGGCATTCGCCACAGACCGCAACATCATCCGATCGGACACATCAGACAAGCGATATTCCCCGCGAACAAAATTAAAAGTCTTCGATCGGATCATCGGGCTCCGGCGACGGCTCCTCGATCGGATCGTCGTCGAGGGGGGCCGCGCCGAGCAAGTCGATCAACTGCCGCTCGGCAGCACGAAAAGCTGCATCAGGAGTAGCTTTGGCTTTCGTCCGAGCGGGAGTAGCGCGAGAAGCCTGGTACGCCGCGATCTGGGCGGGAGTCGGCGGCGCTTTGGTCGGCGGACTCGAGCTCCTCGTAGGCACCATGATCTCGGTGCCGGGAGGGAGCTGCGTACCGGGCGGGAGCTGATCCAGCCGCCGCGGGGGCTGCCCCGGAATGACATAGTGAGCCGGTCCGCTGATGCGAACGTCATCGGGCACGGCGTCGAGCGATCTAGGGGGCTGCCCTGGAACTATGTACTGAGCAGGCTCGGCGAACAAAGGAGAACGCCCTTTCGGAGCCGCTCGGCCTTGGCGCGGCAGACCAGCCTTGGGATCCACATAGTAGACCGGCTGATCCATGCCTCTGTTTCGATGAGCTCTGGCCGGGGGCGCTTTGGGCACCGGCCGCTGAACAGAGGGCAGGCCCATCACTTGATCCCAGTTGAGGGGAGGATCTGCCCCGTGATCGTAGCCGGCCGGCTGGTGACGATCGCGATCACGATGAGCCGGCGGCGTGACCCAGGGGGTCTTTCGGCAGAAATGACACATCAGACCTGTAGCGACATCACCACGAGAGGGATTATCCGCCGGGTTCGAATCGGTCGGTACCCGATCGATATAAACAGAGCACCTAAGCTCCAGAACAAGCTCCCAGAAAATTCCTACGAGCTCGCAGACGTCCTCTTTTGCAGAGTAGCCTTTGATCAAAGCTGCCTCTACAGGCTCGGAATCGATAAAGAGGAGGACCAGCTTTCCACGGATCTCTTCCCTGAAAGTCTGTATCGCAGCGACCGCGGCCAAAAGTTCGATCATGCAAATTTGGGTTTTCCGGGGGAACCACCTCGACATGATCTGCCGTGACACCCCCGAGGCGAATTGCCTAGGCTGATCGTCCCTAGTGAACATCACTCCTCCAATCATCTCAGAAGAGGGATCCTTGGGGTTCGAGCTCGGCGCCGATCCATCCGTGAAAATCACCACGTCGGACTTCCGCGGCCCCGAACTGGGGATAGGCCTCGGAGGCCCATGCATCACGAGCGTCCGCCACTTGTAGAGGGAGTAGAGGAGAGCAGGCGATAGGCTCGTACTGACCGTCTTCCGGGAGTATTGCCTCTCCGACAGAGATCTCAGGAAGGCTCGGCCGATCTTCCCCCAGAGCTGCGAAGCGCCGAACATCAGCTTTCCTCTGAGCTTCCCGGCTTGGCCGGGAGACATCTCTTCGTGTTCCAGGATCGACGAGATCTCGTCGAAGAGCTCCTGCTTCCTGGACTTCTTGATCTTGAGCAAGTACTGATCGAGGTCATAGGTCACGCCCAGGATCGTGGGATCCGAGCAGAGCTGGAGCTTCTGCTGATCGAACCGGGCCCCGAGCCACCAATGGACCTTCTCGGCCAGCGCGAACGCACTATCTGCCGTGGCCTCCGGCTCGAAGCCGTACTTGTCGTCATAGAAGTTGAAGCCGGCCACGATGAACACGCGCCTTAGAATGTCGGTAATCGCAGCCGAGCGGCGGTTGTAGTTATAGACGGCCGAGACCAAGCCGAAGGAGTGGCCGACCATCACGAAGAACGCCACCTTTCCCGTGGCCGGATCCTTCAGAGCGACCACACTCCACTTGCGATGGGCCGGAGAGATCGGCACCTGCCGATAGGCTCGCCGCTCGTCCAGGACCCAACCACGTAGCGGGGACTTCGGCAGCCGCGAGCGCAGCCACTTGATCACCGCCACGTTCGCGTCCGTCGAGGGGAGTTCGAGTTTCTCGGTGACGATCGTCGCCATGTTGATCCCATTTGAGGTAGCACTGTCAACTCCCCTGACTTTGTTCTTTTGAACCACTTCAAAGCGCTGAGTAGGGATCCAACGATCATCGCCGACGAACTCCGAGACTTCGGCCTCGTCGAAGAAGGGACCGATCGCCGACCCTTCTCGAACATCTTCCATGGTCCCTTCCCAGACCTTGGGAGAGTGCTCGGTGATCGGAGATTTCCGAATCGCGCCTAACACCTTCGATCGAAATTCCCAGGCCCTCGAGCGAAGGGCATCAACCGAGAGATGCTCCGCATGAGGTTTGCGATCGGGCTTCCATCGGTGGGAGGAGGCAATATCGCCGACGATCGGCATGCCCGCCATGATCTGATCTACCAGGTCAGTGTCACTGCATTTGGCCTCATTCATGAGCTCCCGCCAAAGGGCGACGTGGAAAAACTGACCCATTTCCAGTGGACGATCGTCTGGGCCGCCGCGAAGAAGACGGCGCAAATGCCGATCTGGTATCTGCTTGAGCAAGGAGTCAGAGGACGGGAGCAGATCTTGAGCTCGCCGTTCCCAATGCTGCAGAAGAGAGGCTCGACGATCGCGCACTTGAGCAGGATCACGAACAATTTGCTCCAGAACATCAAGGAGGTCTGGGTCGATATCCGCGTCCTTTGTGAACGGGTGCGTAGCTTCCAAGGCGAAAGCGATCGCTTCACCCGGGTGCATCTCCGTGCCGATCAGCGGAGCCACGACAGACTTCTTCATCTGGTAACCCGCGGCGACGGCCTTCTTGCCGGCCGATCGTTGACGATGTTCCGCGGCTTTGACCGGGGCGCCATGGGGCCGCTTCCTATCGGAGTCCGGGGTCTCGAGCGCAAAAGTGAGAGTTTGCCAGGACTGATCCACGTGATCACCTGTGTTCACCGGCGCCGGCTTGAAGCCCAACTGAAGGAGTTGTTCGAACTCGTCGGCAGGGATCCGATCGACCCCCTGCACCGAGTACACGGCGACGACCACCCGAGTTCCGATCCAGGGCAGAGTCGCGTGCAGAGCTTCCTTAGCGTTGAAGAGGATCTTATTGTCGACGAAGTCGGTGAGGAAACCGGGGATGGAGCGTCCCTCGATTTCTCTCACATCGGGCCCGAGCGGGTCTTCGATCCAGAGCCCGCCTCCTTCAAACGACCCGAGCTTGAAGACAATGTTCGGGATCGGCTCATTGCCCGAGTCACGGTGAGGTTCGGCCTCCTGATCGTAGAGGACGGCGAACGACGTGAAGAGCGCCTCAGGAGCCTGTTGAGCGATGTACGTGGTGATCGCCTTGATCGACCACGGCCATGAGTGACAGGACGATCGCAGTCTTGTAATGCCTCCATGGCGATAGGCTCCCGCGAAGAAAGCCCCGCCTCGTTCGTCGGCAGCCTTACGCTGACCCTGAACAGGGAGCTCTGTAGCCAAGTCGAGGATCTCCTCACGCAGAAGCGGAGCTCGCTTTTTCAGGAGATCTTGTGCGCGGGATTCCAGATCACAGCCCCCACGCGCGCCGGACAAAGTAAGGCAAGGTGAGGAGCACTATCAGATTCGCTGGGAACCGATCAGTGGTTGCTGATCATGGCATGCGGCTCCCCACAGACCATGCACAGGTGCTTGAAACGACAGTTGTCGCCGGACACGCACCCGAGCGAGGAGTTGAAGTAGTGGCACCGGCGAGCGCCCTGCACCTTCTTGGCCGCATCGGCGATGAGCTTCCACTC